GCATATATGTGAACAGTATTTAGATAAAGGTAGGGAAGTTTTTATTGCATTTATGGATTTAGAAAAGGCATATGATAGAGTGGATAGAGGAGCAATGTTGCAGATGTTGCAAGTATATGGAATAGGTGGTAAGTTATTAAATGCCGTAAAGAGTTTTTATGAGGATAGCGAGGCTCAGGTTAGGGTGTGTAGAAGAGAGGGAGACTACTTCCCGGTAAAAGTAGGTCTTAGACAGGGATGTGTAATGTCACCATGGTTGTTTAATATATTTATAGATGGGGTTGTGTAGTAGATTGGTAGACAGCAACCGCCCAGGGAGGTACTACCGTCCTGCCAAGCGAGTGTAAAATGGAAGCCTGTAATTGTTTTACACGATGGTAGGATTGCTGGTGTCTTTTTATTCTGTCTCATACACATGCAAGATTTCAGGTACGTCTTGCTACTACTACTTACACTTAGGTCACACTACACATACATGTACAAGCATATATATACACACCCCTTTGGGTTTTCTTCTATTTTCTTTCTAGTTCTTGTTCATTTCCTCTTACCTCCATGGGGAAGTGGAACAGAATTCTTCCTCCGTAAGCCATGCGTGTTGTAAGAGGCAACTAAAATGCCGGGAGCAAGGGGCTAGTAACCCCTTCTCCTGTATATATTACTAAATGTAAAAGGAGAAACTTTCGTTTTTCCTTTTGGGCCACCCCACCTTGGTGGGATACAGCTAGTGTGTTGAAAGAAGAAAGAAGATGGGGTTGTAAAGGAAGTAAATGCTAGGGTGTTCGGGAGAGGGGTGGGATTAAATTTTGGGGAATCAAATTCAAAATGGGAATTGACACAGTTACTTTTTGCTGATGATACTGTGCTTATGGGAGATTCTAAAGAAAAATTGCAAAGGTTAGTGGATGAGTTTGGGAATGTGTGTAAAGGTAGAAAGTTGAAAGTGAACATAGAAAAGAGTAAGGTGATGAGGGTGTCAAATGATTTAGATAAAGAAAAACTGGATATCAAATTGGGGAGGAGGAGTATGGAAGAAGTGAATGTTTTCAGATACTTGGGAGTTGACGTGTCGGCAGATGGATTTATGAAGGATGAGGCTAATCATAGAATTGATGAGGAAAAAAAGGTGAGTGGTGCGTTGAGGTATATGTGGAGTCAAAAAACGTTATCTATGGAGGCAAAGAAGGGAATGTATGAAAGTATAGTAGTACCAACACTTTTATATGGGTGTGAAGCTTGGGTGGTAAATGCAGCAGTGAGGAGACGGTTGGAGGCAGTGGAGATGTCCTGTTTAAGGGCAATGTGTGGTGTAAATATTATGCAGAAAATTCGGAGTGTGGAAATTAGGAAAAGGTGTGGAGTTAATAAAAGTATTAGTCAGAGGGCAGAAGAGGGGTTGTTGAGGTGGTTTGGTCATTTAGAGAGAATCGATCAAAGTAGAATGACATGGAAAGCATATAAATCTATAGGGGAAGGAAGGCGGGGTAGGGGTCGTCCTCGAAAGGGTTGGTAAAGGGGGTAAAGGAGGTTTTGTGGGCAAGGGGCTTGGACTTCCAGCAAGCGTGCGTGAGCGTGTTAGATAGGAGTGAATGGAGACGAATGGTACTTGGGACCTGACGATCTGTTGGAGTGTGAGCAGGGTAATATTTAGTGAAGGGATTCAGGGAAACCGGTTATTTTCATATAGTCGGACTTGAGTCCTGGAAATGGGAAGTACAATGCCTGCACTTTAAAGGAGGGGTTTGGGATATTGGCAGTTTGGAGGGATATGTTGTGTATCTTTATATGTGTATGCTTCTAAACTGTTGTATTCTGAGCACCTCTGCAAAAACAGTGATAATGTGCGAGTGTGGTGAAAGTGTTGAATGATGATGAAAGTATTTTCTTTTTGGGGATTTTCTTTCTTTTTTGGGTCACCCTGCCTCGGTGGGAGACGGCCGACTTGTTGAAAAAAAAAAAAAAAAAAAAAAATCAGCCGATTCCCACCAAGGCAGGGTGGCCCGAAAAAGAAAAACTTTCATCATCATTCACTCCATCACTGTCTTGCCAGAATGGTGCTTTACACTACAGTTATAAAACTGCAACATTAACACCCCTCCTTTAGTGTAGACACTGTACTTCCCATCTCCAGGACTCAAGTCCGGCCTACTGGTTTCCTTGAATCCCTTCATAAATGTTACTTTGCTCACACTCCAACAGCACATCAAGTATTAAAAACCATTTGTCTCCATTCACACCTATCAAATACGCTCATGCACACTTGCTGGAAGCCCAAGCCCCTCACACACAAAACCTTCTTTACCCCCTCCCTCCAACCCTTCCTAGGCCAACCCCTACCCCGCCTTCCCTCCACTACAGATTTATACACTCTCGAAGTCATTCTGTTTTGTTCCATTCTCTCTACATGTCCGAACCACCTTAACAACCCCTCCTCAGCCCTCTGGATAATAGTTTTGGTAATCCCACACCTTCTCCTAATTTCCGAACTACGAATTCTCTGCATTATATTCACACCACACATTGCCCATTGCCCTTAGACATGACATCTCCACTGCCTCCAGCCTTCTCCTCGTTGCAACATTCATCACCCATGCTTCACACACCCATACAAGAGTGTTGGTACAACTATACTCTCTTACATTCCCCTTTTTGCTTCCACAGACAAAGTTCTTTGTCTCCACAGGTAAGGGCACCACTCGCCCTTTTCCCCTCATCAACTCTGTGATTTACCTCATCCTTCACAGACCCATCTGCTGACACGTCCACTCCTAAATATCTGAATACATTCACCTCCTCCATACTCTCTCTCCCTCCAAACTCATATCCAGTCTTTCGTAACCTAATCTTTTTATCCTCATAACCTTACTCTTTCTTATATTCACTTTTAATTTTCTTTTTTTACATACCCTACCAAATTCATCCACCAACCTCTGCAACTTCTCTTCAGAATCTCCCAAAAGCACAGTGTCATCAGCAAAGAGCAACTGTGACAACTCCCACTTTGTGTTTGATAAATTATCTTTTAACTCCACACCTCTTGCCAACACCCGAGCATTCAGTTCTCTTACAACCCCATCTATAAATATATTGAACGATGTTGACATCACACATCCTTGTGTAAGGCCTACTTTTACTGAGAAATAATCTCCCTCTCTCCTACAAACTCTAACTTGAGCCTCACTATCCTTGTAAAAACTATTTACTGCTTTCAATAACCTACCTCCTATACCATACACCTGCAACATCTGCCACATTGCCCCCCCCCTATCCACCATGTCATATGCCTTTTCTAAATCCATATATGCCACAAAAACCTCTTTACCCTTATCTAAATACTGTTCACCCATATGTTTCACTGTAAACACTTGGTCTACACACCCCCTACCTTTCCTAAAGCCTCCTTGTTCATCTGCTATCCTACTCTGTCTTACTCTTAATTCTCTCAATAAAAACTCTACCATACACTTTACCAGGTATACTCAACAGACTTATTCCCCTATAATTTTGCACTCTCTTTTATCCCCCTTTGCCTTTATACAAAGGAACTATGCATGCTCTCTGCCAATCCCTAGGTACCTTACCCTCTTCCATACATTTATTAAATAATTGCACCAACCACTCCAAAACTATATCGCCTACTGCTTTTAACATTTCTATCTTTATCCCATCAATCCCAGCTGCCTTAATCCCTTTCATTCTACCCACTGCCTCACAAACTTCCCCCACACTCACAACTGGCTCTTCCTCACTCCTACAATTCCTCTAAATATTCCATCTTCCCGATACCTCTAATTCTTCATTTAATAACTCTCCTCTCCTATTTTAAACTGTCAAATCCATTTGTTCCCTAGGCTTCCTCAACTTATTAATCTCACTCCAAAACTTTTTCCTATTTTCAACAAAATTTGTTGATAACATCTCACCCACTTTCTCATTTGCTCTCTTTTTACATTGCTTCACCACTCTCTTAACCTCTCTTTTTCTCTCTATATACTCTTCCCTCCTTGTATCACTTCTACTTTGTAAAAACCTCTCATATGTAATCTAAAGTAATTTAATAAAAGAAAATCCTTTATCATGTAGTGTCATTGCTATAAAAAGGTCATAACCATGCAACTAATGTTTCCCACCAATGTGGGACTTATGCCCACACCACAACCAGGAGATGCACACACTAGGTCACTAAGTGTATATAATAAGAGCCCTAGTGGACCTGAATATCTTGTGATCTGAACTAAATCCCAACAATGTTATGGAATTATTATAATCATGAGGAAGCGCTAAACCAGTAGGATTATACAGCACCTGTTGGGGGAGGAATGGAAGGCATTCAGGCTTAATTCAAGGAACTTGAGCACAGATCCAATTCCCTAGATCAAGAGCCCCTCCCCAGCATCAAGGAACCTCCCTTGAGGGGCAATGTTATGGAAAGATCATCAAAAACCTGCAATCCATGTTCTGCCTTAATCCGTCACCACTTGTAGCTACCTTTACCTTTGATGAGTTCTGAGAGTTTTTCTACTCCCAGAGCCCTACCATAGGCCAGGCTTGTCTGGTGCCTGCCTGGTTAATCAGGATGTTGCTGTTGGTGGTCTTCTAATCTAATGTCATTTCATTATACTCAAACACTGCTAGGGGGCAAATATTTGATTAGAGAAAGGGAAAAGTAACTTCAATTCCTCAGATCAAGAGACCTTCACCAGAAGCAAGGTCCTCTCCCCCCCACCTTTCTTGAAGGGATCAATAACCCAAGAAAAAAAAAGAGACTTAGAAGAATATACAGTGGACCCCCGCCTAACGATCAGCTCCCAACTCGACCAATTATGTAAGTGTATTTTTGTAAGTGCTTTTGTAGGTGTATTTTTGGGGGTCTGAAACGGACTGATCTAATTCACAATATTTCTTATGGGAACAAATTCGGTCTATAACGGCACCCAAACAGACTTCTGGATTGAAATAATATCGTTAAGCGGGGGTCCACTGTATAATGTTTTAAATACCTGAATTCTGGATGTGTCTGGTGAATTAGACAGTCAACAAAGGTGCTCTTGCCATGATGAAGATGACCCACAAGTGATATATTTCGAACCAGGTTTGGATTGTCCATCAGATCGGCAAGAAACTCTAGGTTGTAGCAAGTGACGGGTAAGTCCTTCTCTACATGACTGAACTTTTTAATCTTTACTGGCTGCAACAAAAAATATATATATACAGTACAGTGCTTCAATAAAACAAAATAAATAAAAAACAAATGCACACACAAAAACAAGGCTTGGTAGAGGTGGTACTGCAGTAATATTGTCTGCACAGAAGAGGTGACCATCTTGGTCAAGGTGAAGGTGTTACAGTAAGGTCATCAACAGAAAAGAAAGGGGGGGGGGTTCACAACTGATGGAACAAATTATACCACATTTAGTGAAGAACTCATCGTTTTCATCTGCAATAAAGACGGAACCCTCAGCAACTAACATTAAAATCAGTAAAGTAATACCACCTTCGTCATGAATGCTCTTCAAAGGGTGTCTTGATGCTGCTGAAAGGCTCTTGATATAAGGGACTGGAGCTAACCTCCCCTTCCTTAGATCAAACCGAGGAATAATAATAATAATAATAATAATAATAATAACCCAAAAAGCATACTTGATCAAGTCTTTCAGCTGAACCCGGAGTTCAACTTTTCCTACAGAACTTTATTATCACCAATTATACAGTGGACCCCCGCTTTACGATCACCTCCCAATGCGACCAATTACGTAAGTGTATTTATATCAGTGCATTTGTACGTGTATGTTTGGGGGTCTGAAATGGACTAATCTAATTCACAATATTCCTCATGGGAACAAATTCGTTCAGTACTGGCACCTGAACATACTTCTGGAATGAAATAATATCGTACACCAGGGGTCCAATTAGTCTAACAAAACTGAGGCCTATACAGCAATCCCCTGAGATACAAGATCAATTAGTCTAACAAAATTGAGGCCTATGTCATAAGAGGCATGTCATAAGAGGCGACTAAAATGCCGGGAGCAAGGGGCTAGTAACCCCTTCTCCTGTATACATTACTAAAGTTAAAAAGGAAAACTTTTGTTATTGTTTTTAACTTCAGAAGAAAAATATCAAAATCTAATGCAAATATAATACAGTAACTCCTTAACTAACACATTAGGGACCTTCTGTATTGTTCATAATAATAATATATACAATAATGATATAATAATGAAATACACAATACAGAAGATTCTCAATGTTTTTGTAAGTCCAGGACTTACTGTAATATTAAATTCATTTTCATATAATATTATAACTCATCATGTCACAAGAAAATAACCTGAATGATGGGCTGCGTCAGAGGTTGAGCATCTTCCTCCTGTACGATGGTCTCAACCTCAGGACCATAAACATCGGCAGCACTGGGGTAATATTGCTTGTCTTCATGCAGCACCACCGCCTGAGCTGAGACTTCCTCTTCCTCTCCTCCTGCACCATCATCGTCATCAAAACCGTTCACGTCCTGGTCCTGGTCTGCATAATCCTCATCGTCATCCTCCTCCTCCTCATCTGAGTCAAGTTCTGGCCCAATGTAGTTGCCAAACTCATCATAGAGATCAACATCCATTGCCTGGGGAAGAAATGATGAATAGTTATAAAGAAACATGGTAGTAACTGACTGTTGCTGTAAGATGATAAAAGGAGTTACACTGAACATGAAATAAGACAGTCCTCAACGATGCACCGACTTTAATGGGTTATACTGGGTGGCTAACCCTCCCCTGGGTTAAATTATTATTATAATCATGGGGGAGCACTAAACCCGTACAATTATGCAGTGCCTGGGGGAGGAGGATGGAAGACATTCAGGCTCAATTCAGGAAACCTGAGCAGATCCAATTCCCTAGATCAAGACCCCCTTGCCAGTGACAAGGAACCTCCCTTGAGGGATTCCCTGGGTTAAAATTCCCAATAAAATCTTATCTAAAGTACCCAGGATAACCCAAAAAAAGTCAGTGACTAAATTCCATTGTGGTCCTTATAATATCTTACTATTTGAAGTCTAGCAGTAATATACAGTAGAAATTAATCATGATTGTAACCTTAACCCTTAAACGGTCCAAACAGATCGACGTTCAAATTCGTATTGCTACAAAAGTAGACCTACTTTTTTTTACATATTTTCAAATACAGTGGACCCCCGCATAGCGACCTTAATCCGTGCAAGAGGGCTGGTTGTTATGCGAAATGTTCAGTATGCGAATGAATTTTCCCCATAAGAAATAATGGAAATCAAATTAATCCGTGCAAGACACCCAAAAGTATGAAAAAAAATTTTTTACCACATGAAATATACATTTTCCTACACACAAAGAGAAGGATACATGCACAATAGTAGAGTAGTACATGCACAATATATATTGAGCATGTACTACTCTACTAAATGAAGAATAAATGACACTTACCTTTATTGAAGATACAGCAATGACTGATGAGACACTGTGTCCTGGGAGTGCCTTTTCCTCCTGAGTACTGTAGGTCCTGTTTGGCATTTTCTTCCAGAACAGGCCTTATCACACTGTGTATGCCACTACGATTCTTAAATCTCTCAAACCAACCTTTGCTGGCTTTAAATTCACCAATATGAGCACTAATTCCAGGCATTTTCCCTGTTTCACCTGGGTGTTAGTCGACTGGTGTGGGTTGCATCCTGGGAGACAAGATTAAGGACCCCAATGGAAATAAGTTAGACAGTCTTCGATGACACTGACTTTTTTGGGTTATCCTGGGTGGCAAATCCTCTGGGGTTAATTGTTTCTTGGTATTCTCAATAAGCCACACCAACAATGGTGCTACAGCAGCAGCAGCAGCTGACGGTGGTACAGCAGCAACAGACGATGCTACAGCAGCAACAGACGATGCTACAGCAGCAGCAGACGATGCTACAGCAGCAGCAGACGATGCTACAGCAGCAACAGACGATGCTACAGTAGCAGCAGACGATGCTACAGCAGCAGCAGACGATGCTACAGCAGCAGCAGACGATGCTACAGCAGCAGCAGACGATGCTACAGCAGCAGCAGACGATGCTACAGCAGCAGCAGACGATGCTACAGCAGCAGCAGACGATGCTACAGCAGCAGCAGACGATGCTACAGCAGCAACAGACGATGCTACAGCAGCAGCAGACGATGCTACAGCAGCAGCAGACGATGCTACAGCAGCAGCAGACGATGCTACAGCAGCAGCAGACGGTACTACAGCAGCAGCAGCAGCTGACGGTGGTACAACAGCAGCAGCAGCTGACAGTGCAGCAGCAGCTGACAGTGCAGCAGCAGCTGACGGTGGTACAGCAGCAGCAGCAGCTGTACCACCAATAGTAGCGATGGTTGATTGGAGTTTATTGTACAACCTGGTCAGCTCGGAGACGCGCACTCCACTTTCATACTTATCAATGATCTTTTTCTTCATCTCTATAGTAATTCTCACCCTTATTGCTGTAGGGTTGGCACTAGAAGCTTTCTTGGGGCCCATGGTCACTTATTTTCCAGAAAAAATCACCAAAAAACACTGTAATAATACGAAATGTTCCGATTGTATGCTTGGATGTTACCGCGGAGGCTGGCTGGTAAACAATGCCACTGGCGGAACATGTGAGCGTGGCTCAGGTCGCACATTGGACGCGTCTCAGACGAAGGGCGGTGAGCGGGTTTTTGGGCGGTATGCGAGGCAAAATTTTTGCGATCAAAGCGTCCGGTATGCGGATTGTACGGTATGCGGATTGTACGGTATGCGATGCGTACGGTATGCGGGGGTCCACTGTATAACAAAAAAAAAATGTAGATAAAAGTTTTTTTTACACGTTTTCAAATGTAAAACAAAAAAGATCTACATTTTTTTACATACTTTCAGATGTTGAAAAAACGTATATATACGTTTGGACCATTTAAGGGTTAAAAATTAAAACAGGTAAGTAACTCTTCACTGAAGTCATACTTCAATGAAAATAAAGGAGCACAATGAAAATAAAGGAGCACAATGAAAATAAAGGAGCACAATGAAAATAAATCACTTCGACTGATTTTTTGGGGTTATCTTAGATAATTTACACATATGCTATGGACGATAACTTACGTAACTGTATTTACGTTTACCTGTACATGAATAGTGGCATGGTGGCTGAAGCTGTTGCTTCACAAGGCAAGGGTCCAAGTTCGGTTCCCAGCGAGGGTGGAAACACTAGACATGTTTCTTTACACCGGTTGTCTATGTTCACCCATCAGTAAAATGGGTACTGGTGTGGGTCACATCCTGGGTGTCAGTGGACTGGTGTGGGTCACATCCTGGGTGTTAGTGGACTGGTGTGGGTCACATCCTGGGTGTTAGTGGACTGGTGTGGGTCACATCCTGGGTGTTAGTGGACTGGTGTGGGTCACATCCTGGGTGTTAGTGGACTGGTGTGGGTCACATCCTGGGTGTTAGTGGACTGGTGTGGGTCACATCCTGGGTGTTAGTGGACTGGTGTGGGTCACATCCTGGGTGTTAGTGGACTGGTGTGGATCACATCCTGGGTGTTATTGGACTGGTGTGGGTTGCATCCTGGGTGTTAGTGGACTGGTGTGGGTCACATCCTGGGTGTTAGTGGACTGGTGTGGGTCACATCCTGAGTGTTAGTGGACTGGTGTGGGTCACATCCTGGGTGTTAGTGGACTGGTGTGGGTCACATCCTGGGTGTTAGTGGACTGGTGTGGGTCACATCCTGGGTGTTAGTGGACTGGTGTGGGTCGCATCCTGGGTGTTAGTGGACTGGTGTGGGTCGCATCCTGGGACAAAACTGACATAATTTGCCCATAATGCTCAACATAACAAGGTACTTTCTATATAGTAGTATGTCACTGATGTCAGCTATTGTCTGTATACCTTGTACATGTACTGGTATACCTTGTACATGTACTGGTATACCTTGTACATGTACTTGTATACCTTGTACATGTACTTGTATACCTTGTACATGTACTGGTATACCTTGTACATGTACTTGTATACCTTGTACATGTACTTGTATACCTTGTACATGTTACTTGTATAATACCTTGTACATGTACTTGTATACCTTGTACATGTACTTGTATACTTGTACATGTACTTGTATACCTTGTACATGTACTTGTATACCTTGTACATGTACTTGTATACCTTGTACATGTACTGGTATACCTTGTACATGTACTTGTATACCTTGTACATGTACTGGTTGTTATTAACCTTGTACATGTACTGGTATACCTTGTACATGTACTGGTATTAAATATTATTAAGAGCCCTCTCACCGGCATCAAGGACCTCGAGGATCATCACAGCATCACCATCAAGGGAACACAGCTAAATAATTATACAAACAGGTCACTCAATAGAAAAATAAGTCATTTTGACATTTTTTTTTTGGTTATTCTGGGTAAATTACACATACATTATTATGGAAAAATAATTACACCGAAAAAAGTGAAATTCCAAAATTTCTAGCGATTCCTCACGTTTTTTTCACTGTGGCTGTTTTGTATATTATAATATTACCTGTTTAATAAGAACATAAGAACATAGGAAAATAGGCACATAGAAAATGTTAAATACATGATAATTGTGATAAATGGTTTTGAAAACCTTCAAGTTGAAGACTGAGACACGTATGCAACATATTAAAATCTTTATTAAGGAAACATTACGCCACACAGCGGCTTCATCAGTCCAATACAAAGTAGAAATAGGTCAAGAGAGATGAAGTTTGAGGTAATCAGTCCCTCAGCCTGACAGAGGGACTGATTACCTCAAACTCCTGATCTTCAAACATTCCTCTTCACAGGACTGATGAAGTCACTATGTGGCGAAACGTTTCCTTAATAAAGACATCCACATATTACATAAGTGTCTCAATCTATAATTATAGTTACGTTTTAAACTTACCAACATAACAGTGACTAGCGTGGGGACCAACCCTCATATTTTACCTCAAATTTACCTAATATGATGCAAAAAATAAGTTCCTAGTTAAGAGACTAGTTAATGGGTGTGTCACACTAGCTATGCTACTAGCACAGGCAACCTACATACAATAATTTCAGAGTAAATAAGTCAAAAATACCTGTTGAAAAATGTGACAACTCTCCCCCAGCCAGTTTATTTTGGTCGCTTAGTTACACAAACTGATGATGACACAGTCCAGCATAACACCTTTTGTAAATAACTAAGTAACTATTCAATTCAATTCAATTCAAAGTTTATTCTCTATAAGGATTACAATGCTGAGTTTACAGAAATTTGGTTATTGTTTGGTTTACATGTAGTAAAATTGTGATTACAGAGTGTACCACTAGAACGCTTAGCATGGCTAGGCATTTCGGGCATACTTAGTTTTATTCTTAATTCTTAATTTATTCTTAATCTTAATTGTAAGTAAGTAACTAAGTAAGTAACTAAGTAAGTTTATTCAGGTATACACAAATACAGTTACATAGATTATCATACATAGCAACATATGTGTAAAGTATCTGAGATAACTCAAAAAAGTCAGTGATTTATTTCCACTGGGGTCCTAAGTAAGTAAGTAACTAAGTAACTAAGTAAGTTTATTCAGGTATACACAAATACAGTTACATAGATTATCATACATAGCAACATTCAAGTTACACAATACAGTACATGGTTATCAACTAAACATATGTGTAAAGTATCTGAGATAACTCAAAAAAGTCGAGTGATTTATTTCCACTGGGGTCCTAAGTAAGTAAGTAAGTAACTAAGTAAGTATGTATGTAAGTAAGTTTATTCAGGTATACATAAATACAGTTATTATCATACATAGCAAAATATGTGTAGAGAACCTGGGATAATCCAAAAAAAAGTCAGTCAGAGTGACTTATTTCCACTGGGATCCTTTAAGTAATTAAGTCAGAAAGAATGAAAGTAATTATGTACGTAAATAATCAAGTTTGTTCAGGTACAGGTACACATAAGTATGGTCACATAAATTATCATATATAGTAACATGTGCGTAAATTACCTACTAGGATAACCCAAAAAAGTCCAAAGTGACTTATTTCCATTGTGTTCCTTAAGTTAATAACTCAAGACTATATGCCACTAACATACCCAGACATTTCTGCCCTTAAATACCTATGTATGCTACTGACTTTCCTTGTACTTCATTTTTCGTAATATGTAAACTACACATTGTATACTTTGGAAAGAAATACAAATTTTGAAATGTGAATTTTGATCTACATAATATATATACTACTTCATGGGTGTCCCAAATACCCGCGTACCATCAAAATTGTTACAAATAATGTGTGATTTATTTTTTAGTTTTCCTGGGCAATTTATACATATGTTACTATGTATGCTTACTGTACTTAAGTGTACCTGTACCTAAACAAACTTATTTTACGTTTTTTACAAATGTTGTGAGGGCATACCATTGTTATGGAAGTTATTAGATTCCCGTGGCCTGGTGGCTAAAGCTCTCGCTTCACACGCTGAAGTCCGGGTTCGATTCCCAGCGAGGATAGAAACGTTGGGCGTGTTTCCTTACACCGGTTTGTCTATGTTTTTTTTTTATATTTTATTTTAAATACACATTACAATAAATAAATAAAAGCATACAGAGTCAGATAATACAAAAACAATTATATCCTCATAAACAAAACACACTGCTCGTGTTACACTGCATGAGAAAATTTCCTCTTCACATGACTCAGTACAACCACAACACGCGGGTGAAAAACATTTGTGGTCACAGAGGTGCCTGTGCTAACCTTCCTATGGTGTAGAAATATACCTAGTTGGATGAATCTTATTGTGGCTAGCTGGTCTAGTGGCTAACGCGACGGGCTGGAGTTTTGAGACTCTATGACCGCGGGTTCAATCCCGGCCCGGGGTATGGTTTATTTGCAATCGTGTCATTACGATTTCTTAAGTCATTACACAATATTGTACCTGACATCAATCACATCATTTTAACTTACAAATATGTCACTTAGTACACTGTACACACCTCATAGATGTAAAATGTCTTTATACAAACACTAAGGAAAACTGTGCAAGCAATACTAATTAAAAATAATTCTCAATTATCCCTTGCTATCAGTAATATACACATTAATTAAGTACTTGTAATAAAATATGTTGGAGAAGTACACCCACAACCCCCCGTCACCCACAACCCCCCGTCACCCACAACCCCACACCCACAACCCCCACGTCACCCACAACCCCCACCCACAACCCCCACGTCACCCACAACCCCCACCCACAACCCCCACGTCACCCACAACCCCCACGTCACCCACAACCCCCCCACAACCCCCACGTCACCCACACCCCCCACCCACAACCCCCACGTCACCCACAACCCCCCTGTCACCCACAACCCCCACCTACAACCCCCACGTCACCCACAACCCCCCCGTCACCCACAACCCCCACCCACAACCCCCACGTCACCCCAACCCAACCCCCGTCACCCACAACCCCCCCGTCACCCACAACCCCCTACGTCACCCACAACCGTACCCCACCCCCGTCACCCACAACCCCCCAACCACACCCCCGTCCACCCACAACCCCCCCGTCACCCACAACCCCCCCGTCACCCACAACCCCCCCGTCACCCACAACCCCCCGTCACCCACAACCCCCCTGTCACCCACAACCCCCCCGTCACCACAACCCCCCGTCACCACAACCCCCCCGTCACCCACAACCCCCGTCACCCACAACCCCCCTGTCACCCACAACCCCCCCGCTCACCCACAACCCCCCGTCACCCACAACCCCCCCCCCGTCACCCCAGACAACCCCTTGTCACTAAACACAGAAACTAATAACCACATGATTAAATCTTGACCACAGTATCTGTTGACAATCAAATCCTCTCTAGTATAAACCGAATCATAATCCCTACACAACTGACAAATAATATTTAGAAAAAGACACATAATCTGAACTTAGTATTACGACAAAATCATTTACCATAAATCGCCGCATCCATGAGACCCCGTTACACATGATACAGTCCCACACCCACTACTCCATCCCGTACAAAAATTGTACCAATATACATGACTTATAAACATTCATATTCCCACCCGATTTATCAGTGTCATACATGCCCATAACTTACAAAGATTATAAAATCCGAATCATTATTAAGCCCGTCCCCCATCCCATGAGACCCATGTAATTCTCCCCCCCCCCTTATGCAGAACCAGTCACCCAGCATTATCAACACAATCGCTCACTCTCTCACAGTCTACCTCATACGATGCTCGAAAATCTATAGCCATCTACTCCATACATATCTCATTTAACACTTTGTTTTAAAAAAATGTCCCTGCTAAAGTCCTTTTCGTCCCTCACCCCCACCTCCCAACCTCCCTCATCGCCCACGATATATAGATATAATCTGCCACTAATACATGACGGCCTCCTCACACTATCTCCACTCCTCTATATCACTATTGCCCTTAGTACTAACTAAAACCACTCCACCCACCATAACCCAATACTCACGAATACCATAGGACGTGCCCTCTCGATTATGCTCACAAGAAATACCACACATGACTAGGCCTGTTTCCCCTCCCCCCCCCACAAAACACAACATTGAGACTGCAAATTCCCATCTGATACAGTCGTACTTTAGTTGGCAAAACCCCATGTAAAAACCTATACATGGTTTCCCTCACCCTTGACTTCACCCGTAACTTACTGAAGTCTCCCCAGATTCGTGCCAATTTTATAAGGGAAAAACAGTCTCCCCTTCCAACCTTTCCAACCTCCCCAAAACACACGCCGTTACATTTCCCGGATTTCTTACTTGTAATAAGTATCTCAACATACTCATACACTCCCCTAAAATCCCTACCCCCCCCCCCCCCCCCCCCACCGCCTCACATCTTCCATCACATCCCCTCACTCTGACACCACGTTCCCCACCCAATCTCAGATAACAATTCTTCACGTACATGTTCTTCAGTCTGCTACCCAAAGGAATTAAACCTAAACCCACCTTTGTGAGCTCATTACCTTTGTACCTAGTTCAGCTATCAAAACTTTGGGGGCCCAGTCCCTGGACCCATTACGTACCTCTGTAATCTGTAAATACCTTTGTAACTTGTCATGATTGTGACCAGACTTACCTGGAGTTCATTACCTTTGTAAATTGTGAGTTCATTACCTTTGTAGATTGTGAGTTCATTACCTTTGTAAATTGTGAGTTCATTACTTCTGTAACTTGCTCAGCTATCAAAACTTTGGAGTCCAATCCCTGGACCAATTATGTACCTCTGTAATCTTTTGACTACCGCCCACAGGATGGGTATGGGGTGCATAATAAACATATTAAACTAACTAACTAACGCCAGCGGTGTCATTACAACCGTCTGTCTCAGCCAATGACAACCATATCCCCATATAAAATTCAGTACTTTCCTTTGCACTTGCCGCACGTCTTTCGTCATCAAGGGTACACCACAGCCACGTGCCACAATTTAGGATAAATGAGTGTATTAACTACAGGTTAGGTTAGGTTAAGGTTCGTCAGGAAACAGGACAAATGTTTCCTGACGCGGGTCTTAGTCAGATGATGACCCGCCTTTGGAGCTTTTGGTCATCTGACCGAGGCCTTCCGCTGGCTTACCGGTCCACCCTTTAAAAATCATGGTCATTTATAACCATTGTTTTTTTATATTAACTACAATGACTCCAAAGAGTTTAATGTACGTCAGATGGTGTAAATAAAGTTGGGCAACAGTGGTGTTATAGGTTTTGTGGTTAGGTGCGTGCTAGGCACAGTCTTCATGTGTTACTTATGTCATGGTTATATTTTATGTTGTATTGTACTGTTGTCAATAGCACTATGTTATGTCCATATAAGCTGTATAGAGCTTGAATGTCATAGTTGAAGCTGTGTTATTGTTTTTAACGTTTGGAATTGCATGTTTAAATGTGTAGAAGCTTACATGTGTTGGTTTTTTGAGACTAAGTTTATACCTATGTCTTTGTAGTAATTTTGTATGTCTTTGTGACTTTTCTATATCACCATTGTTGTGTGATACATATTGTTATGTTACTGAACCATTAGGACAATTACATAAATTAATGTTTTGATCATTGCTGTGTGACATTAGATTAGGTAACATTCATTGTTTACAGTATGTTAGGTTGTAAATAGTGGGGTGGTTGGATAACCACGG